CTAAAGCGCTATATATCTTCCCTCCGTGCTCATGAGCTCGGTACCGGACAGCCATCACTGGTGGTACCTGTCGAATTGAACCTACAGTCTTCCGGTCTTGACTGAAAAGCTATTCAGAGCAATCTATTATTGATTCAGATATATAGCGCTTTAGTCCAGAAAGTAGCCCGTTTTTGTGTAGACAGAGAGCTGAAATAAATCAAGCGGTTTTTTCGCTTGACTCCGCCCAAATTTGATTTGTGCGCCCAAAGTCGTGAGTTTTTAACGATGAGACCGGGTTCAGTCGGTGATTTGTTGACTTCGCTTGCAGACGGGTTACGGTAGTGGTGATGCTGGAAAGCTATAGCCGAGCTTTGAACAATGAATCTTGTAGAACGCTTAGCTAAGGAAGGCGAATCCATGAAAGCAGTCCAACGGTAGAGATAGAGGATTACGGTAGGTAGAGTTATCCAGTAAGGGTTCCAGCCATTCATCTTAGCTTTACATTGGTTTTAAGAAATTGAAACTTGGAGGGGGAACGTTGCGCAATACCTTTCGGCACGTACTGCTTTGCTTGACTTCTTCTTTGCTAATAGCAGACTCGCCCCCAAGTTTCAAGAGCTGTGGGAGTTCCTACAGCGTGGGAGAAATTGCTATTCCCAAAACAGGTGGCATCTATCAATTTTCCAGCCCAACTGCATGTTTTGGGGACCCTACAATGTCCAGTCGGGGAAGATGTTGGTCCCTGGCTTCTACATTGCTGTAGGGTCGTCGTCGTTGCTCGAGCTCAAGAACTCGCAAATCTTCTTTGGTTGGCGGCCGTGTGACACATGGTGCGCTCGACGAGAGATTTATGTATTTGCTTGCTGTGGTCCACCACAACCAAACTCTCAAAGCCCCCATCAACCACCACTACACAGCACTCCCTCAGGCATCGCTATCGATTTGGTGACCTGTCAGACATCTGAAATATGGTCGTCGGGAAAGCTGTGCGGTGAACTCGGTGAACTCGGACACTAACCCTCCGATAAGCTTCCGACGCCCTGGTAGTATAGTGCCATCCTCGAGAAGTCTAGCTAGCAACAGGTGAGACATCAAAAAATTTTCCCCTTGATTCTCCACTAACCAGGAGCAGCCTCCATATCAGTAAAACTGTGAGGCCAAGCCGACCAGCGAACTCAATACGATCCCATAGTTGAAATTTTCTTCACCTCGAGCCGAGTTTATAGGGAAATTAATAGTGAAAGGAACCTGTGCAACCTCTACGTGGTACTATTCCCACCTCATTCTGTAATGACCATCTAAACTTACCAGTCTTGCAACTATTATACTACCACTCTCACTTTGTCATAGTCTATTTTCTCTCGGAAAATTCCTTTTATCACCTAGAAATTCCTGTTTGGAAAGAAACGCGGGGGCACTCGATCAGGAAAAATTAGAACGAAAAGTCACAGGCGAAAACACTCTTGTCAAAAGCAGATTATGTTTCGCTCCCTCTAGCGAAC